CTGAACCGAGACTCTAATGTGAAGACTATACCTCCCCGCTCCCTTCATAAACTAATCCCATGTGGATCACATTAACATGTACTGAAAAGTCTAAGAGTACCAAATGTGCACACATCAAGTAATGAAGTCCACTGGCCAATAGAAAAAGGACAGGAATTTCGATGCAAATGTTAGGATATAAGGCTAATTTAACCAAATCAGCATTCTTGAGTTTGTGTCAAATGAATTTTTATAAAATCTGAAACATGCATGGCGTCAGTTATTTTTCTGTTTGTGAACCCAAAATACCGACGCAGTTTTCAAGAGCCGCGTCACAAAGTTACTCGCGTGAGACTACTAAAATTCAAACCGTGCTTTTTTTCTCGTTATTTTTCCACATAGTGATTTTTCCCTCTGGCAGGTATTTATATGTCACATCAATGATTCATGAGGCGTACTGCTCATTTTCAAATTATATTGCCTGAGTATTGATCATTATTTTGTTTTCCCGCCGGAGAAGGAAGATTTATCCAACAAACTACCAAGCTTACAAACAGGAAGACTTCTGAACCTTCGTTTTAAACTTTTGAGATATACATTGTGATCACAAAGTTTCCGATAATTTGAATCGACGCCAAGTGAATGAATTAAAAATTTGGCTCTCTAATGATTAATCCCAACTACCAATTAAACTCGACCAGTAGGTTTGTCAAATAGTAAAGATATTTGCAGAACTTTTAAGGGGTTTAAAAATAAATTATTTTCCCATGTAAAATAATGGATTTATTCAAAGGTTCTTTGTGTTCTTAATTGGTCTGTTTTGCCTGTTTTCTGTTTTTTTTTTAAAACTTCCCTTTGTGTTAAGGTCTTTGTGATAACTACTTCCGAACGACGCTTTGCTCTTTCTTCCAAAGTTGTAAACAAGTGCTCTGTGATATTTATGTACTCGACAGAGGGACTTCTGCTCCGCGTCAAAGCAGTTATTTCCATTTCAAACAAGCTCCAGAAGCGAACAAACTAAAAAAAAAAAGATATTGATAAAGATATTGTTTCTGAAGAGTTCATCAAATTTTAACCCTAAAATGAAATTGTGCACAAATCAGGGTAGAACTTCTTTAAAATTCCAATGCCTATGTTTTTCAATTGAAAATGAAACGAGGCGTGTCTTCCTTGAATCATTCAGTGGAAGTTCAAGATGATTTGTTTATAACTTTATCCATTAGCCTTATTTAGCTTTACCCCTATTTCATCTAATGCCCGGGTACCTTCGGAGTGTTTAAGATTGTGGAAGTTCAATTGGTTCTATGAAACAGATTGTGTTCAGTATATAAAATAACAGTGAGATCGTTAGACCAGCAAATATCGACTGTCTCTCAGCCAAATTCTGTTTTTTATTTTAATCTTAAAGTTCAGACGGAGAAATGATATCTTTAAGGTTGTAATTTTGCTCAGAGAAAGTTTTATTTTAAACTGTTCTGTAGTTATACTATTGATAGAATAATTTGCGTGAATGTAAAAATTCTAGAAAGAGCCAAAGCCCTCTCGTGAATCAGTGCGGAGTGGATCAAATTACCATCCATTGTTACACCCTGATTAATATAGACGCCTATTTCAAAGTAATCACGTGAATGTTGCATACCGGTCACTTGAAGAAAGGTATCAATCTTAAGGAATGAAATTAAAGGTATCTCTGTAAAAAAACTGGTCTCCTAATAATGTTGAACGGATGTGCTTGTGGAAGCCAATTGTCGTGTGGTGTAAAGGTGAAGTAAAGAAATACATTGGATGGAAGAAAAAGTATATGATTTTCAAAGTAAAAACTTTTAGGTATCTTAGTAACTGGTGCTTTCACTCGATTATCTTTTGTCAGTTATTGCCTTAATTTAAGCATATGACAGGTCGAATATGTCATTGTGGAAGCTCAAAGTTATTTGGTGTAAGTTGTGTTTGTATACCACAATGTTTTAATTATGAACCTAATGAGCCGAGCTGGCGTCAAACAACCGATGCTGTTCTTCTAAACCGCGTCTCAAAGTTACTCACGTGAGACTACAATTGGTGTCATCATGATGCTTTTTTTCTTGAACCTTTCTATTGAAAGACTCTTTCTTTAACAAGTGATTAATTGTTGTGCTACCTCAACAATTAAGGACTGGCTTAGAAGGTTCTCAAATTGGATTGCATTAGTGTTGATTTTCTTTTCCCTCCTACAACCTCCCATGCCTTAAAGATGGAAGGCGGCTGAGAAAAGACAATATGATGTGGCGGTGCAGTGTTCAGAATCTTAGAATTCAGCATAAACCGTATTCTTGACTGAATGGAGGATTTTATGTTTTAAATTCACTCTTTGGAGAAGGAAGCTTTTTGCCCTGAAACTGTACTTCAGTTCAATCAAGATTTCCATCGTCACCAGCGATTACTTAATTTTCACGGTGGCGAACTGGTATCTGTGATGTAAATACTTCCACTATCCTTTCGCGTTAATTAACAGTTGGTTCATACGTCAGCGTGCGTTCATCGAGATAGGAAGCACGCGGGAAGTTTGGAGAGCACGAAAGATGCGTAAGAGTCGCTCGAGGTGTAGCCGAGAGCAACTCTAGCTTCTTGAGTGCTCTCCAAACTTCCCAAGTGCTTCATATCTCGATGATCGCACAGCTGATGTATGAACCAATTATTTTATAACATTTTTAACCCGATGGAAAATTTTTTTTCGCGAGGGATTTGTTTGCTGACGTCACGAGCGTGCACAATAGGAATATGAAGCACGCTCGGGCAATTGAATTTGATTAGACAAATTTACGCGCTATGTTATAAACGCCTATGGAGAATAAACTGCCTTTAAAATCGTCACTCAGAATTCTAGTTTTGAAGTAAATCTTCATACAAAAATAAAATGGAACTGAGCACATACATTCATATTTTGAAGACGTTTCAGACGGATTTTTACAGCACTTTCAAGTCGAGATTTGAGATCTAACAAGATATTAATAAATGACATCCCTTGAAATACACCACACATGCACGAGGCTGGGAGGACACATCCACGACTTTAAAAAGTTACTGTTTAGAATGGCGCAAAGAGCGCAGAGTTAACTGTACAAATCCACTTACTCTGGAAAAAGAGAGATTACAAATCATAACATCTCTCGCTCCATTTTACAATAATCATAAAAAACAAACAAACAAATAAATAAAGGCCAAACAAAACAAGGAAGTGTGTACATAAAAACAACAAGCTATGCGCATTCCACAATTTTTTTTGAAAAGAACATTCGATGGAGATGTCAATGGTACAGAAAATGGAACAAACTAACTGCACTGAAAAAAATTCTAGGCCACCATCGGATTTCCAAAGCCGACTTTTTGTTGCAATTGATGAATTTCTCCTAGCAGGTTTTTGTCTTGTAGATTTAACTGCAAATAGAAAAAAAGAGGAAAGATCAACCATACATATTTTCTCCCTAACTTAGGGAATCATTTAGCTCTAGATGAAGGATTGATGTCGAAGCTGTAAAGTTGTACAAAATAATTAAAATCCTACGAAATTGTTCAACCTCGTTTGTCAGGTCTCGAGGCTAACCCTTTCCACCGTAACGTCAGTAAGCATATTCTGCTTAGCTCGGTGCCCATTCCTTTTGTTTTTAGGACCTAAATGTTTCATACATGGGTGATACTGTGGGGAGAAATTAGATACTTGTGGGGATTAAATTGTCAGAAGGCGTTGATTTCCAGGATTTCCAGAAAAAAGGCTTCTTCAAGAGTGGGAGGGGAGTTAAATGAGGTAGCTTTTAAAAAGGAAGCAGATATTTAAAAAAGGGGTCTTTAAAGAGAAGGAGGCTTATCAGCCTGAAGTAGCCTAATCCAAGAAGCTTTCTTTCAGATTACGCAACGGCAAGACGGTTCATAAATTGCTTCTTACCTTCAGAGCGTACTTGTACGACTGCTCGGCTTCCAGCTGTCGACCGGTCTACAAGAAAATATAGACAGAGGATAAGATTTGCCTAAACTAAAATGCTTTCCAGGCTCTTAAGCGATCTAAAGTGGCGCACAAACGTATAGAAACACGCCAGTAAACTAGCGCCAGAAAACTAGACGACACAATAGTGTTACTGAATAATGTTACGCAGGGTAAAGTATTCACTCTTCCGCAAGGGTCTGTGTCCAGCTCGAACAAAGGATTACACAATAACTTAGCTTGCCTTTAGATCACGCTCGGAAGAACTGGAAGGAAAGCGAGAAAAAAAGAGTCGTTCTATTTTTGCAAATCCTAAAATCTTACAGAAATATGAATTTGATTTAAGTTACCTGTAAACACACCAAGGACAGATAAGCCCATACTTCTGCGTCTTTGTTGTTTAATATATTTGCTTCAGAAAGAGCGTCTTCGGCTTCGGCCAAATCTTCCAGCTAAAATAAATCAAGGGTGGAAGTCAGGATAAAATGTAGAGATTTGACGAAGCTAAAAACTTAACATCCAGTTGATTTATTTCATAGCTTGAAAGGTCCCTTTGTTCTATAAAACTAATAGAATGATTTCGATCTAAGCACTAATTCCAACGCCAATTCGCAACGTCAAATTCTGACCACGGTCCCAAAAGGCAGTGATTAACACATACAGTCTACATGGTGTACGGCAGTCGCAAATCCGAATGAAAGTAATATGAAAAAGTATGGTATATTTATAACATCGCAATAATTTGTTTCACTCCTTGTGGGCAAAGAACGCTTGACGTTTAAGTTTTGCAAAGCAAGTCATTCAAAGATTCAAGCTTAATCTCTTCTACAATCGTGTAATACCAATAAAACCTTTTCTCGTAGTAAGTCAATTTAATAACTTGTGCAAAATGATACATGCGCGGGTGCAGAGGAGTAAAGGGGAATTTTTAATAAACACAGAGTGGTATCTCAGTAAAGTTGTTTACAGTATTTACCCTGTAACACGCAATTCCAACTCCAAGCCACGAAACACAGGAAGGCGAGCGAATACAGGCTTTCAAGAAGGTTGTCTTCGCTTTATCAAACTGAATTTGAAGAGAGGAGACAACCAACAAGGTAAAATGTCAAAATTTTAACGTCCCAGTCAAACATTAGATGTCAACCATGAAGTGACACACGTCAAAATGTTAAAAGTTACACGTCAAAGTTGAACGTCAAATATTAAACGTCGAACTCCAAACGTCAGACGTTAACGTCAAATGTCAAACGTCAAACATCAAACATAGAAGGTCAAACGTCAATAGTGAAAACTTCAAGATACTAACCATAGTAAGTGGACAATAGAATGGGATACAAGCGATGAATCAAAAGCTTTTCAACTAAAAACTTAGATAGTATAGCGTTGCACCAACCTCTCCTTTCTCCAAGTAAATCGAGGCAAGTCTCAAATAGATGGCGTGCATGTCTGAGGCTTCGGTTGTATAGGCCAGTGTTCTCTCATAGCAGTCCTGAGCTTCCTCAGTGCGGCTTGTCAAATAATAGAGGTGTCCCATCAAGCCCCAAGCATCTGGGTTCTGATATCGAATAAAGAGACAAACTTCAGCGTTTGGCACTGCGTAAATTTCAATCACACTCAATAAGACAACATGCCTCCCTTTTCCAGAGGGTTTTCATTTTCGCACACTGTCCGCATTGCAGTTTGTAAGTCGCAGGCACGTTTACATTTTTCGTGCTTATAGTAAATCTTTCTGTAAAGCAGGAAGTTTTCAGCTCAATGGGCCAAAACATCAATAGTCTATTTCGCAGCCGTTAGAATTTTTTTTACAAAAGTTACCCGACGCTTTTTTTGTTTTCGTTTTTGTTTTTGTTTTTTTTTTGTTTTGTTTTTTTTCAGTTTGACTTATTGCAAGACGGCTGCGGCGAGGGAGACAAATGGGGATGCAAACTCGAAAAGTTAACAAGATCAAACTCTCAAAGATTGCTCGAAAAATTCCAGGGATAAAATCTAAGAGAAGAGAACACACATGCTGTTGTTCTACCAAGTTGGAAACTAAAAGCAAATCACACAAATGTATTGAAACTAACTCCAACAAAGCCTCTAACGCAAATCACCTGATGCTTCAACATGACAGCTTGTTTAAGATTCTCCTCAGCCCCGATGAAAGATTTCTGTTGTATCTTCAGCCTCCCAAGAAGCACATAGTATCTCGCTCCAGGCTCTCCGTTGGCTGCCACCAACTCGTGCGCCAATGCCGCGTCCGTAAGCTGGTACCCAGTAACAAAAATACAAACGTTGATTGAAACAACGGGGAGTTGTTGGGTAAAGAGACTAACAGTGTGTTTTTCCCTAGTGTGTTGGTCCCAGCCAGGGCATAAGCGTAGAACTTCACTATTCACGAGCCTACTGCTTCTATTACGAAAGGATTTTAAATTCCAACCAACAAAATACCGAGAGTGGGATCGAAAGAAAACCGCGATAAAAGAGGTCGCTACATTTGGTGTGTTAGGTAACAAGGCTGCATGTCCATAGTCCGAAGTTAGCTTTATCTATACGAGCACCTAAAGGAATTTAGACAAATTTAGCTTTAATCGCCAAAGGGAATAATCATTTTCGTCGCCAATAAATTCTGATTCTTATCTTCTTTTTTTTGGTTCACTTCGAACTGAAAAAAAGAAAATCTAGAGACGTTTCATTACATAAAACACATTACAACGCTTGAACGATCACTGGCTAAGTTCAGATGACCGCAGCAAAAGATAAAATTTGTTTCCTTCTTGGCTGTTGATTGCTGATTTACGAGAAGAACATTCACAAGAGTTCAAAATAGTCGCCTGCAAGCAACCAGCATTAGAATTATAGTGAGGAACAATTAATTCTCAGTCCCATTGGTGACCAGTGTTTCCAACATTTCAGACCGGGTTGTAGAGCAAACATTTGACAACAGCAACACAAACACATTATCACTACCACTTAGAAAAACCACCAAAACTACCTGTAGAGCATTTACTTCCAGCAAGAAAGCAGCCACTTGTAAGAAAATACTATCATTCGGCTTGACCTCCGCTGACTTCTCCTCTGCAGGCGCTACAGGGTCAGTTTCCGTCGGAGGAGGTGATTGGCGGTTTGAGCCGGCAGGACTTGGAACACGCGAGCTCTGTTTGGATGTCATTTGTGTTGTAGACTGGGTCTGAGGTTTCACTCCAAGCTTCCCAACAGGCGTTGCAGAACTGATTACTACAGATGGGGGGAGGGCTGCAGTTGGCGGGGCGGAAGGTTGGGCGGTGGTTTCTCCACTCGCTGACCCAGGCTCCTCACGTAGTGCATCATCAACTAAAGAAAAACAAATATAACTTTCCTTTTATATACACTTTTCACATTCCGCGTAGTAAGCTGATAAATTTTTAATTTCGGTCACTGTTGGAAAAAAGTTGTTGTCACTTGTCTCTTCTTAGACAGTTGTTGCCACTTGTTCTATTCTTAGACCTTCCTGAAGCTATCTTTCACGCGTTGCAGGCCTATCATTATGCACATCGCCGAATCACTTCAAAAAAGGAGGTAACAATATTTATACTTCTTGTTCACGTGACAATGACAAGCAGGAAGGAGTAATAGGTCAACAAAGAGCTCAAACGCCTGCGTGTGCGGACATCGTAAAAGCGAGAGCGCATTTTCAGGCTTTCAGATCCAAGTTGTATTCCGTGAGTTACAGACTTAAGTTCAAACCAACCGATATTCATTCCCTTACGCATGCGCAACCTATCAACCGCTGGCCTATTCTTCCCGCATGTTATTGCCGAGTGAGAGAGAAGTTTAAACCGCCACATATTTGGTGATACGGCGTTGCTTGTGTGTTCTTGACGTTAACCTTGGAGAGTGCCGTGGACAATAGTTAATCGAATGTTAGATTTAGATATTTAGATGTTAGAGATGCAAAACAGTCTGCAAGTTTGTCATTTACTGGACCAAAATTCTGGCCAGTGGAGGCTGTTTATCACCTTGTTTAATGATCGACTTGTTTTGAAAAACCTTCCCTAAGCTATTCGAGCTGTTGAGAGTTCTAGAATTTTGCTGTCTTATGAGATAAAGCATTTGTCGTTTCTTAACCACGGTTTACGTTTTTTATCTTTACGCTAAGTCTACGCAATACTAAATATTTCGCGATTGAATTCTCTATTTCTTAAATAAAGCAAAGAGAAAATGCAAAACATACTAAAACAAAAAAAGAAGCAATAGGAAACAAAAAAACAAAACAAAAAGACCCTCAAACATACCATGGACCTCAGGCAGTTTCTGGTCCTCAGACACAGCAGTTCCAGGAGCCCCTTCTCCAGCAGGTTCGTCGGCAATAGTCTCCGAAACAGAATCTTCAACCTCGGCCGGTACATCTACTGGGGCTATCAGCTCAGAAGAAGACGACGTTGCCGCATTTAAGCGATTGGCTTCTAGAAACGCACGCTCAGCTCCGATGTCGTTTTGAATGCTGTCATAGTACAAACCTGTAACATGAATGAAGATACTGTCTCACTGTCGCGCAAAAATGTCAAACTAGCAAGTACCTCGCTGGTCTTTAATTTTGCCTTTTTTTCGCTTTTATTCCAGCTTATAGAAAGACAATTCTTTCCTTTTTTCAAATGATTAAAAGTTTGCAAGAGAGCTCATTAAGATAATGATATATTTACCCAGCATGGTCCACGCAATGACGTTCTTGCTCTCAGCACATGTTGCCGCTTCAAGGAAAGTCTCGGCTTCTTCGTACTTCTCATTCATCAGAGACATGCAGCCATGCATCAGAAGACTGTGGAGAGAAGGCTAGATCAGTCGAGAGAGGACTGGGGCGGCTAAACATCCCTGACACACTCAGGGTCAGTAAGGAAAATGATATCCGACTCACCCTGGTACGTGTTTCTGCGCAATAGCTACTGTCTCCTTGAAACACTCCTCAGCCTACAGAAAAAGACACATCACTTTAGTAATTCCTTTGCAATATTTGCAGACAATTTTCCAGGGGTCTGACTGATTATATCCAAAACGTTGGAAAAACCAACTTTCCCTCTTTCCAGTCGCATGATTCTAACACACGTGTTGACCAAACGATTGAAGTTTGAATGATTGAAGTTTGCAGCCATCGATCTTATTATGCTAATGTTATAGGAAATCCCATTCAACAGTTTTTGATGACGGTCTCGGTAAATTCTTTGTATGATTTTTTTCTCAGCTTCAGGATTTTCTTGTTTCTGGAAAAGGCCTCGATTCTTCATGATTCAAGAGCCATGACAAAACTTGACGCGCGAATATAACCATTGTTAGAATTCGTACCTTCCCAAAGTCGCCAATGAGCAAGCAAAACGCTCCATAATCAAACCAGTGATCAGGATCATTCTTGTTACGAGACAAACGCTGATAAAAGAGGAAAAAAAGTTAAATAAGCAATGCTTTCGGGAACACATTAAACAAATGAGCAATTCAGAATAGTGAGCAGGCGGGCAAGGAGGTTTGAACACCTGGAGAGCCTCTTTTTCCACTCCGCGCAGGTCCAGGCTCCGGTGAGAAACTTTGGAGATCAAAACTCTTGCTTTTGAATGTTTCAGCATTTTGAGGTTTACACAATTAAAGTCGTTTTGTTGTTTCCCGGAGTTAACCAATTTGAACAAATCCGTACAGGATTACATGTGAATGGGCCATTTCTTAATTACCTTTTGCCTTTTTCTCAAAACGAGGCCTGGTGCTCAACCACTCGTCTGGAAACGAATTTAATTTGCATTTGAATGCAAACTTATGATCAGATGAAGGAATGAGCACCAGCACTCGCTTTGAAAATGAGACCACATGTAATTCGGAAATGGCCTATTAGGGCACAGTGACATTTGTGGAAAGGTTAGAAGTGGGTATCCAGCGGTTACATTTGGGCAGATCTACTCGCTTCTCTGTTATACTGCTGGAACGCTAGTAAATGAATAAAATCTTTAAATTGTCTATTTTAGATCTTTATTACCTCTTGATAATATTTCGCTGCTAGTTCAAAGTTCTGGTTCACCTTTTGATAAGAAGAGAAGCATTCGTCAATAATGACATCTTAGGAAGCACATCGAAACAAAACAGACAAAACAGGTTATTTTTCGAATACAGCGTGACATGATAAACTATCACACCACACTTCAGAGTTTCAGCGTACCTCAGCCTCTCTCGCGAAGTGTTTCAGAGTGGCGGAGTCCGTGACGGGCGGTGGTTCCTCTGGGGCTTCTTCTGCTGTGAGGAACTACAAATTGAAACAAGGAAACGATGTAAGATGACTGGAACAGTCTCAGACTACACAAAATAAACGCATATACCGTTACGGTATGACACATTTATAAACCTATCAATAAACTTGTGATACCAGCTCGGTATAAACAGGGATATATTTTTGGTTACATGACGCAGTATTGAAACACCCTCTTGCTGTTCATGTCGGGGATTGGGGAAGGGAATTTTTTTGTTTAATTCTGTCATTGAGCAAGTTCTTTGACATGTCTTTAGAGTGCATTGTAACTCAAAAAGTGGTAATAGTTTAAATACTGCGTTTTCTTTCCTTCAAATTTGCTGTAGCTTGAATTGAAAATCGCAAAAATTAGTCCACCAACAAAACTTTCAGACCTCTCAAACCGCAAAAAGTCGCTAATCCACAAAATAAAACCTCCCGCTAAATTCTCATGCAACATGGTAAGTTGCATGCGAAGGTGCGGTACCTTAGTGGTGGATGCACTGAGCAAGAGATTGAAACCTCCTGGTTTGAGCTCTGGATACCCAAGATCATAACATGATGTTCTTTGCTAAGACATGATTGGCTTGGGAACTCGGTTTTAAGTGCTGAGAAACACTCAGCTCGAGTAAGAGACTTCACAATTCTATGTTCTGTTATAACAGTTTATTAGCCTAAAATATAGAGAATAACATTCCATTGACAAATGATGTAAACATTACCTTGTTCAGAGCCACGTGCATCTGGTCAATTAAAAACACATACAACTCGCTGAGGAATGCTTGTAGTTTTTCCTTGTCTGTAAAAGCTGTGGTGTTTAAATACTTCTCTCGCACGATCTTTATGACGCTATTCTGTTAATCAAAGGGAAACGTATGTTAACTTAGTCTACCAATGAACTTGCCTATTTGTAGACGATCTTCGAGTAAAAAGGTTACTCTTTGGAATCGCAAGACGCGGCAAATTGTAAATGAGTGTGCAATTTGTTTTCTTTCCTTTTTCTTTTGGTGGAAGCAAAATTCATACAGTTTTTAGTGCATACTTCTTCTTCCATAAATACTTCAGATTTAACAAAGTATTCTAATTAAACGGCAAGCTACAGTTATGTTAACAGCTGCGACTGGAGCCATCATCAACCATTTTACTTATAACAAGACATGACTAGATGGATAAGCCTCAAGAAAAAGGCAATATTAGAAAAAATAACCAAAAGACAAAACAAAACAGATGCCAAGACTAAATCAAGCAGTGTATAATCAACTTATTGCATGTACTGTACAATCGATATCGTTTGTGCTACCTTTAACTGTTCTTTAAAAGCGAAATATTTTCCGGATGTATTTAGTTCGTACAGAAACTTCTGCCTCCTACAAAAAAAAGAACCAACGTTATTTCTTTCATTAGTTCAAAATTATGACCGCGGGAAAACGTGGGCGATCAAGTAGTGATTGGGCGAGAGAGTCGCGCGAGTTTTCCGGACCAATCATCAGTCGAAGTAAATAAAAGCCAATGCATTTCCGGACTACTCCTAACACTCAATTGAGAATTGCCCTAAAATAGATGTTGCAGAACCGAAGTACTTGCAAACTGAAAACGGCCGATCAGAACAAGGCTAAACATGACCAGTCTGCCTGAAACAAAAATTTTAAGAGGAGAGGAAGGCGAAGGTAAAATCTTCAACTAAGGTAGACGTGCATCGACCAAATTCTCCAAACTCACACCGATTAAAAATACATGTAGTTTTTAAGAGAGGAACATCTCTTTCTGACTGTTATAATTTATAACAATTACAATAAGATTTCATTTTTAGACCTTAGAATGAGAGATTTTCAGAGCTAATTATTAGGCCTCTTTTTCCTTCTTCCTTATTTTGCGTGCGAAAGCAAAAATATGCACCTCTGGTCCATGGCATCATTTGACTGCGGTAGACTTCCCTTCAACAAATCATCGCCGTACATTTGCCTGCAACAAGAAACACAAGATGTTACCGAAGAAAATTGGTCGTAAGATGATTGTAAGAAATGTAAGATGCCGAAAGTTTCGCGTTCATCATCTGATTTGCTCATCATATTCGAAGCTTTGGGAGTCTTTAGGAAGTTGATTGATTGGCTATAAGCGAAGACGATGAGATAGTGCTTGATTAGCAACTTGAAACTACCCGAGTTTGTAACGAAAAACCATTTTCTATTGTGAGACTTGGTTAAAAGGCAAGATACCGTTAAGGTTTGGTTGTGTAACTTTTCGTATAGCAGATTAAATTCGAAATTCGTGCACAGGAATCAAATAATCGAGAACCAAAAAAGAGTACTGCTGCTTTCCTCAGAACGTTACAAACCTGAATTCCTCGAGCAGGGAATTTGCAACAGTGGTCAACTGACCGTGGAAATCTTCCACAGCCTGTAACAAAACAGATAGTTTTACAAATTTGTTAATCAAAGTTTACGATGTGAAAAAAACTATTAAATTATTATAAAGCAATCAAAACGTAACAAATTTTATTTCCCCAGTGCGCTGCGTTCCTTATCCCAGTAAATCTCTGAATTTGCTGCCCTTCTTCCACTTTCTCAAACAAACACAATCTTAAAAATGGCACATAAGGAGTGGAAAAAAAAACGTTGTCAACTTCAGTGTTCGCAAAACTAAATGCATTCCATGATATGCTACCTTTTTGGAGCCTCCTGTTTTCCGGGCAAAAACTGGACGTGGAGGAATATATTCTGCAACTCTACAAGCGGGGAAAAATGAACAAAGTACAAGTGAAATTGACAATATTGTAAATAAAACTGGTTGATACGCCAGCGTGCGTTTACAGCAGTATGAAGCATGCTGGAAGGTTGGAGAGCACAAAGGGGGCGTAAGTGTTGTTCGAGGCGTAGCCGAGACAGCTCTAGCTTCTTGATTAGGGCAAAAATGACAAAGAAATGCTTCGAAGTAAAGCGTTATTCAAAGAAATACTACATTTGCTATTAAGAGGCGAAAAAAGGTTAAAATCCCTCGAACACAGGCGGCCCGCGCAATGCTTGAATCGTTGTTTACCTGACTTCAAGGCCAGGAAATTGTGTAGCGTTGTGTTAAAAATTCTGAAAGTTCTCAGATTTAAGACAAATGAAGTTGCACAATACTTCAAGGACTTATCAGATAAATTAAAGATAATACTTATCGGGCCAAAGAGAGGTGCAAAACTGGCGAGGCCCCAATGATGTCAGCAAATTCAGTTTTCATTTTCCAGCCATTCGTATCGCGTTTGAGAATTGTAGTATTATTGACTCGAAAGCTCTTTTCGTCGCTTTGAAGGGTTAAATGTCCGTTTCCTTTCCACTTCATTATGAGTTCTTATAGGTCTATCCCAGTCGGGATGGAACGGCTAAACAATTTTGAAAATCTCACGACTCGCGGACAAGCTGAGCGGGAAGTTTGCAGTCAAACGCGGAGGAAAATTTTTGGCTCGCGAGGCGTTTGTTTGCTGACGTCATAAGCGCACACAACAGGATTTTAACGTACGCTCGCGCACAACCTCGTTCAGGCGTGGAGAGGCTTTCTGGGAGCTCTTGTCACAACTCAAAATTGAGTTAGGAAACCACAGTTATGTTGCAACTAAAAGTTCTCTCTTGTAATGGTCTACATGTCACTTTCTATACGCTCGTTTTGTTTTGTCGACTGGCTTCATTGTCTTCAATTTAGTTTGGTTCTAAGATATTTTGAGTTTTAAAGATTTTTGCTTACCGGTTATGTACAGGGTCAGATAAATTGCTAACTAATTAGGCCCAAAAATATCAAACTGCAAGTCTAAGTCGAGGAGGCACAACGCAACGTATTTAGTATCATTCAGTATCGCCGACTTACTTTCTTGCAAGCGAAGATGGCGGCCGTTTTGGAACAAGCGGCTTGTCGAGGACAAATTCCAAGGTGATAAAAGTTCGTGACTCCAGATATTGCTGTAAATAAAAAGACTCAAGTTTTATTGTTTTTACTCTCATATCAATTTGTATTCAAGACAGAATTTCTCCTTACAATATCAATACAATATCAACCAGATAAGTGATGAGAATAAAGAAAAATATCAATTTGGAGATGATTAGTTGATCCAATCTTAAATTCTCTGAACTAGCAATATAAGAATTGTTTGGTTGACAGTAAGGAGAACTACAAATTTGATCTGGGATTTAAAGGATTAACTGAAGGGTTGAGAAGTCCGTGTTCCTCTTGGAACCCAGACTTGGAACCCGAAAGAAGGGGAAATCCTAGTAACCTTTTTGGTTAACGTTTGTGGTAAACTCCACCTGAATTCTGCATTTCTTTATCGACAGACATTTCTTGTACAAATAAATGTTCACTCATTATTGCACATCAAGCCTCACCTGTCCTTCAAGATTTTTAGCCTCGTTACCCTCTCCTTCTGCTAAAACGTCCGGTTTGAGAACAGCACCTGATGGCTAAATAGTTCAAGAAGTCGTAAATGAATTAAATTTCCCTTCAGTTTCGGTTTTTTGGCAATTTCACGAAACATCAAGTCTTAGTTGAGATGTTTGCAGACAAAAAGGGTAAATTTGCAGCCATTCCCGTAGATCTAGAGTGTGGTAGACCAAACATTCTCAAAAATGGCGAGCGGAGACAAAAATTTGTCGTTAGAAAAGACAATCCCCAGACCTAGAAAGTAATTGGTCGAAATATTGCGCGCTAAAAATATCAGCTACAAGAACTCTAATTACGGGAATAAAAGACAAACTTACTGTTCGTATTCAAAGAGTTGTTTGACAACAGTTTTGGCAAATATTTCAGCCAAACTGCATATACTGCCTGTATGTTTCCAAGTTCAAAATTATATTTTCCTGGTTGAAACAATCCTTGAGTAGACGAAACTTGCCAACATTACCTAACAAAAGCTGTTGACTTTTTTTGCTGTTATAACGTGTGAAATTGGGAGATTTTCATCCACAGTCATCGGTTTAGCAAAGGTTCTGATTCTTCTTCGGGAGGTTCATTTAATTTCAGTGACAAAAGTAAATCGGGAATGCATTGGTTTTCCATTACTTTTCTCTGTGATTGGTTTACAAAACTCGCACCATCCTCTCCACCAATCAGATGAAAACGTTTTCAGCTTTAGTTCTCATTGGTTATTTGTGACATTTATCTTTGATACAATTTACTGTTATTTCAGTTTTATAACACCCAATCGAAATGTGCTCTAAAGACACAGCAGTAATAGTACCTTTGTTTTTGCATCCGCTTTGCCTTGTTTGGAGGGTGGAGGGGCCTTCTGCGCCATGGCTGAGGCGAGAGTACGGCTCATTCCGCTGGCTATTCTGGCAGCCTCTTCCGCCAGTGTACCTTTGCGCTTGGTCTTATCAAACACTTCATTCTCGATGAAGGGCTTCACAAGGTATGCTCCTCTTATTCTGGGTGAAGAAAGAACGCGTTACATGTCGCTAAAACGACGAGGGGAAGAATGCTAAGTGTCAGAATCCCCTCTCATCGAACTCAATGGGAACATTAACAGGTAAAACGTACAGTGAGTGGCAAATGTCTTGGCACGCTTAACTCATTTTTAGTTTTTAATTTTTAATTTATTACCCCCTCTTCCCCGTTTCATTGTTGCCTGGTGCTACATAGAGGTCACATACATCGGGCAACATTTTTTTTTTTGGAGGGGGAAGGGAGGACTTGCAAGTGACTTATTACAGATGAATTACTAGACTTATGTTTATTATGGTAAGTCTCCTTATAAGGAGAGGCGTGCCAAATACTTTTGCCACTAACTATAGTTTATTACAGGACTCTTAAATGCAAGAATCCGATCAATGCGTTTCGTTTCTCAAGAGACACACATATGCGACTCGCTTATCCAAAGACAAGAATCCCTGCTCGTGAGACGAAACTTGCTTTAAAAGAGACTCTGAAGTGGAATGCGAAGAAACAAACCTTTTCACCCCAGGGTAGAGTAAGGGCGCCATGTTAACATAAGCTACTCCGTGGAATGATATGGGAATATCTTCTTCTAACGAGCCCTGTTTTCCTTTTGTCTTCGTGGCTTGTTGTATTGGGGTCCTCATTATTTCCAAGGGCCAGTAACGATTCTGCGCGATCTTGTTCTGCAAACTAGAAGATAAAAAAAGTTAAGTCTAAGAAAATGAATATATTGATAAATAAATGAGTACACTAAATTAAGTGAACGTGTGTTCATGAACTAACAACACAAATGAATAGAGGAGGTAAGTTTCTGAAGAAACTGTGGTACAGCGTCGCATCCGCCCATAGACCTGAGAAGCATTTCCCTTCCTTTTACTGAGGAAAGAACTACGTAACATTGCTTCATACCATATGAGCCCCCGATATTCCAGCGGGGCTGAGTTGCTATTACATGCACAATTATACAATACATAAGAAACTCAGCACCGCTGGAATACAGGGGCTCACTTGGTTTGAAGCAAAGTTACGTAGAGCTTTTATTAGCGCTTTATTTACAACGCCCCTGTGAAGGACGATCTCACCTTTCAGCAGCCTCCGCACTTAAGAAACAGCGTCTTTCTGTGTTCCACGTAACGTGATTTTTCTCATTCATAGCTTCCTGACGAAAAACGATATCTTCTCTATCTCTGAGATCACCATCTTCGTCCTCGAACGGCAAAATTTCGATGTTACTATAGAGGAAAGTTGAAGTTAATAGTAACTGATAAATACATGTCTGACCCAAATTATCACGACAAAGCTGCTTCAAATCTTAGCATGCGTCATCACAGCTCAAAGCTCAACTCAAAGTCAAAGTGAAGCAGATTCTACAAAACGCGGGAAAACGCGCGTGACCAAGCACTGATCGGCTTCAGTTTTGTTTCTGATTGGTGGAGAGGGTGGCACCATTTTTGTACACTAACTACAGAGCATGGCAAAGCAAAACCCAATAAGTATCGAAACGCGATTGAAAATTGCACTTTAACCACTTGCAGTTATTACCTGTCAGTAATGTATAGACAGGAGCCAGAGGCACTCGGAGCAGCGGACCACTTCCGATGATTTGTAGTTTCCTGGTAAGTTAAAAAATAAATTAATATGTAAAAAAAGAGGAAGCTTCAGCAGGTCTGCAGAAAAAAAACAAAACGAAACAAAACAAAACACACTCCGTCAACAAAACACCTGAAAATTCTCTGCGTATTAACCAGCGGGCTTTACACCCTAACATCAGTATGCAATATTCTACATAGTACTCTCTACACATAAATTTCCTAAGGTGCTGATAAGGAGAAATTTGTTTAACAATCATGGGCTGCTTGAAATGGTGATCATTTCTGTATTTTCGTGACCTTAATGTGCGATTCGGAAGAAATTGGATACTAGTCACTCTCAGGAGTCAGTGGGTTGACGTGCTTGTTTCATATGACAGAACAAGTGGTAACAGTCTAACCTTTTCGCCTGGTGCACGAAGCAGTCCGTTGGATAACACTATTGTACTCTCTTTCTGTAACGTAGGGAATACAAATAATAAGAATAATATACATGAGAAAATTAAGCGCGTCCAATTGGCCGAAAACGATTGTATTTTTTACGTACTACGAGTGCAAAATTGTTGGTGTAGTGCAAATTACAAATAGCGCGCGCGTATCGCCGAAATTTCGTCCGTTTTGACTTTCTGTGAAGCTTTTTTCATGTAAAATTAATTATTAACAAGTAACAACATTATTTCTCGTGCAATTTGGTGAAAATAAGCACTTGTAAACTTTACAAATTTTACAAGCCCTACGGCCTCGTGCAATTTTTTCGCCTTTATGAAAATTCACTCGTACCCATAACACTAAATTGCACCCGAAATCATGTTCTTACCTACACAAACTATCTAGCAATTATGAATCGAGGCTTCAAAGATACAACGAAGACAGAGGCACATTGCAAAAATTGTTAACGAGTGTCACTTTTAATAATACCAAATTACCTCAATAAAGTACCAAGTTTCTAGATAATATGATTTTAACCATTTCATGTGAGAAACGATTACATTTACCATCAGAAGACTAAGAAAAGTAATTATTCACTCCAGAGAAGATAAATTGCATTAGCGCTGAGCGGTCTTTTAGCCACAAAGAACCAATCATCTCCGATGATGATAAACCCAGATTCTTGAGGAGAAACATAAATCTCATTTGTTAAACTTAACTTAGCATTCATTTAGATGTGAACTTCTCACCTCAGTGGATATTGGAACAGGCAAGCTGGCAGTGTAGTTAAACTGCTGAGCCATCTGAATCTGCCAGGAGTCTGGTACAGAGAATGCACTGTCCAGATGGACACTCAATAAATTGCTGTTAATCAAAACAAAATTAAAATGAAAAAAAGGAAGATAAGACAACTAATTCAAAATAGATAGCTTGAATTCTCTATAATGACTAATTTTCAAAAAGTTAAATGAAAAATATTTGTAGATACAATTTACCCTTTAACTCCTGTGAGTGACCAAGACAGAATTTCTCCTTACTATATCCATACAATATCATGCAGACAAGTGATGAGAACAAAATATCAACTATGGGATTACTAATTGATCTGGTACCAAATTCTCCAGACTAACATAATGAGAAATGTTTGGCAGAAAGTAAGGAGAATTACTTATGGGATCTTGGTACAGTTAACTGCTCGCATATACATTAACAGCGCAGATGAATTTCATACACACAGATGCAGGGTAGTGTTGATATGAAAAGTTTGCTCGTATGTTTTTGACAGCCTAATTTAAAAGCTTGGTAGGATTTGCAGGGAGTTTCAATAAAAACTGGTTTCAAGCACTTTATTGCCACCTATAATACTGCATCTCTTGTCACTGTCTGTTAAGCCTTTCAGTGAGTATTGCTCCTTTGTTTGGATTTTGCCTTACACTGCAGTCACAGAATATTTGGGGAGGAATGCTGGAGTTCTTCCTGTTTCAGGAAGCAACAGTAGCATTAAGGAAGGGAATTCAGCAGCACCATCATGAAAACTGCATACATGTGCCTGCACATACATGTACTTCCTAGATTGTTACCAATTGTGCTGGTAACATTCTGTCCCATGCATGTAGTTACAGCCATTGATATCTTCTGAAAACAAAATTTATGGATACTTATAATGATTTAGAGTTGGTCTTGTAATCAATATTTGAGAGCCTGTTCAAACCTGTTATGGAGCTGTGTTTCTGTAAGAAGAGGTTGTGCTACAGAAACTTGCACTTCAATTTCAGGCTTAAAAAAAAAGAGAGAATGAGCAAACATAAAAATTTTAAAACTCAATAAATAATCATTGATAAGTAATGGTAGTTACTGTTAAAAAATATAATAAAAATATAATAATAAAATTATCATTATTAATTAATTACTTGTTAATATACAGTTACTAACTGTTACATTAAAAATGATAACTGGGAGAGTTTCACTAATACAAGGATCTATTTCAGTTAAGCGTATACAATCCTCATAGTATGTGTGTATAATTAATAGACTTGGTTTCACTTTGTATAGTAAATGATATGTCACAAACAGAAGAAAAACTTTCTTTAAATGGTTGAAGTCCACTGACACCCAATCATCTCAAAGAAATCAGGGAAGCGGCTAGTGCAATAATGTGGCTGTATCAATGTGGTTATTTCAGATTTGATCATTGCCTGACTTTTCTCATCACAACAATTAGACTGGTAGAAATAAAATCATTTATATACAGTCAAAAAATAACAGATCAAATCAAGAAATCAGTATGAGTCCCATATGAAAGCATAACATTATCGAGGAAAGAAAAGAAAAGGAAAAAATAAATTAGGATATTTCTTACCAAAATATGTTCAGTTGTGGCTGGTTCAGTTGGAACAGTGACAGGATGGACATACTGGGTAACACTGAATTTGGTCTCTCCTTTAAACCATATGGGAAAATACAGTATTATAAAGTTATTAATATAAAAACATAAATATAGCTAAATCTAAATGTAAGTGGAGATTGAAATATCCCTTAAATTCAACACATTCTGTTATCCATAATTGGTGGTGTGAGATCAATGTTTATTAACCCTTTACACCCTAACATCAGTATGCATATTCTCCATACTGTTCTTTATACATTTCCTAAGGTGCTGAAAAGGAGAATTTGTTTACCAATCAAATGCTTCTCTTGTTGGTGATCGTTTCCTTTATTCTCATGACCCAATGCGTGATTCAGGGGTGATATTGTAGGGAAAAGTTAGGGTTTAAATGGTTAAAAGGACATGTATAACAGCAACTCTGAGTCTTTTACATTCATTTTGAAATCATGTGTGATCCTTGCAATCTGATTGGCTCTCATCAGTGCAAGCTTGTGTTGTGCAACACAACAACCAATCAGATATCAAGACTTGTTTAAAGGAACCAATCAAATTGCAGGAAAATGAAAGACAACTTTTGCAACTTTTCACAAACTAGCTTAGTACTGGATCAACAAAATATTTGTAAAGACTGAAAAAACCTGTATGTGAATAAATGAAATTTGCAATTTCAAAATAGATGTAATAAAGCAGCAATTGAACTTTGTGTCATGCAATTTTGGTCTTGTTTGATTATGAAATTCTGCAAATCATTTCAAAGAACACAAGAGAAGTGCCAAGAAGAAGGAACCAAAAGCAACTGCTTCTTCGCACTTCTCAAGTGTTCTTAAAAATTCCCAAGTGGAAAAAAAATTACTTATTTTTGAGAAAGCATAAATTTCATGAAAAACCATCATGCAGCAGGTGCAGGTAGAGGTACCTTTCTTTTAAGATTAAATCCTACAAAATGAGGATCTTCATAAAAATACAAGGCTAATTATGTACAAATTGCTAATTATATAATTATGATATTATTAAAATGACTTTTTACAGCATCTACAATGCCAAAATGATAACAGTGTAACAAAAATATAACCATGGTTTAAGTGTACAAGTATCTACAAGTATTATGTGCCTCACCATGAAGAAGTGGCAGCAAATCAATACAGGATTGGCCCAAAATATTTATTTTTTCTTCCTTTCCCTTCTTGTCTTTAGGAAGAACCTCAACAACAGTAACTGAAAAACAAAAAAAAAATCTATTTCTATCTATGTACTATATCAGCACTTTAAAAACAGGGCAGTCTCAATAACTAGTGACTTCCCCCCACACACAATTGCTTTGATAGCACCCTCCCAGCTTCCCTTCAATTGAAACTTTTTATTTCATTATTTTGCAACTGTATTAACCCTGTAAAAACTAGAAGTGACCAGCATCTACATGTTAAGAAAATGATTGGATTGCCACCCAAGGGCTTTTGATTGCTACACAAATTCTTGTTTTCAGCGCTTTCAATAAGACCCAGCACCTGCCAGAACTCTGGCAGGACTACTCTGTTGTGAATCGTTGGGTATACTCTGCAGGGTCCCAATCAAAATTACAGAACAAAAAAATAAATAAATAATGACATGCTGTAAAAGATTACATGTATAACACAATTTGGAATTGGAGTATTCAACTTATTTATTTTTGAAATTCTGTGGTCTTTGATTTATTCATTCTTTAAGTGCTGGTCTTCTTTATCTGCTTGTTTTGTGTGTTCTAGCCACATAAAGTCATCATACATGAGGTAGAAGTACGACATAGGCAGTTACTTATGAAAATACTAACTCAAATTGCAATAACCAGTAACTATTTGTCCTTTCAGAGGACTTTTGTGTGAAACTCAGGGAGCAAGTTTACATTGCCAGCAAATGGAGGATTTTGATTACTGTAGAAATAAAACAATCAATTAAACAACTGTTACAAAGGAAGCTAATACTTCATGATCATTTGCTGAAGTTAAGCACAGAAAGGTCTGTTTGAAGCCAGTTTATTCTAAATTGCACTAATGGGCTGACAAAAGGGAAATTGTTTTACATACATTCTCCAGCAGGTGCTTATTGAGGTAGCCACCTACTTCAAATCTTATTGAAAGCTCTGCCTTGTCAGTGCCAGAGGAAGGGTCGAAGAGAATGGAGAATAATTTACGAATACTGATGTAAATGGTTAATGATGATACTGATGTAAATTTTTTAATATCTTTACCCATCCTCAAAAAATGATGTAAACTACATCATACAGTTGCAATTATATTTAAAATTGCACACATCATTAGTAGCTTTCAAGGGTAACAAGCAAAAATTGCATTTTTTGAGGGGGCATTCACTCCTGTTTGAAGACAGGAAGAAACTCCCACTCAAGAAATTCAAGTTTTGAACAAGACAGTCAGTAATCCTATGTACATGTACACTGTACAGTATAATTAATGAAAGTCAAACTAGAAAATCAATACCTACCTATCACAGGCTTATATGCTATAGAGTCCAGAAAAGTAGCATCTTCAAATGTACAGTCAAATGATGCATTAAAGTTGTATTCTGTGCTATGGGTCTCTGTGTTTGCTTCAACTTTTGGAGATTCTCCGAGCAGATTAGTACCAAACTCAAGCCTCACCAAGGAATTCAAGGAATCACCTTTAGAACCTTTCTAGAAAGTGAGAAGAAAAACACTTTTAAGCTGAATAATTAAAAAAACCGATTAATACCATTTTGCCATGCATCGATCTGTTCATTAATTGATCAGAAAAGTGGCACACAAGATGTGGCAGAGTGTGTCATTGATATTCTTACACATTCTGACATCATTTGTGATCAAATACTACACAGATCAACAACAAGATAGCTAGAACCTTTTTGTTTTCCTTGATGAAAAGGGCAAATGTTTTTTTTAGGGTGACATCATCTCTTGATGTACATTAAAAGTAAGAATGAATCAAATGCATGTATAATTAACATTTAACTCCCATGAGTGACCAAGACAGAATATCTCCTTACAATATCAATACAATATCAACCAGATAAGTGATGAGAATAAAGAAAAATATCAATTTGGGGGTAAGTTGATCCAATACTAAATTCTCCCAACTAACATCATAAGAATGTATGGTTGACAGTAAGGAGAATTACAAATTTGATCTGGGAGTTAAAGGGTTAAGCTTATCATATAAATGGTTATAGGTAATGAGGAGAGACAATTTGCAGATGGATGCTGCACAGATTTTGGATCAAATAGTCTGAGGTTCTGTCACTGTTCAGGGCCAATGACTGTGACCTTCTGAGGTGTTTCATTGTCAAGGAGAGGCAGGAGTGGGAAATGGAATCTGATCTCCAAATATCATCAGCCTTTCCGAGAAGTCTCCCAAACATGTTTGTGTCACTATTAGGTTTTGCTGGCCTCTCAAGAAAAATTAAGAAATCAATTTTTGACCTTTTTTGTAATGAGGGCAACTACACAATACAGACCACCTTTTTGGTATGCTTTGAAGAACAAGGAAGAACACAAAATGATGTATGGTGATTCAATAAGAAGTAAATACTGTAAGTGCACGGCCCTGTATTTTGTAGTTTTACCCTGTAATTTAAGATGACGACTTTTCTCTTTTTTTTTCTTTTTATTTCCACACTGAAAGAGGTTGAAATTGTAAGATGTCCTGCTGGAAAGCATACAAGACTCAGTTTCAAAACGCTGATTGGGTTTTTATGTTGTGTCTCGACTTAACCAAGACGTCTGAAACAATTGATATCAACGAACACATGAAAGAATATAACCACATTTGCAAACAAATTTTCCCTTAAAAAGTCTACGTAATGGAAATTTCTTGGTTTTTAGAAATTTCTTCATTCAATACAATTTAATGAACTGGAGATTCGTTAAGAAATACAAACAGGCTTACATGTACGTACGCTTACCAGATTTTTGCATCGAACCACGACAATTGTAACCGGTTCTGGCGGTCTGATACTTGCGGCATCTTCTTCATTGGCCATCTTTTAAGGCTTTTGTTGTTCAAAAGGCTCTTTTCTGAGATTTTAAGCTTTTTCTAACGTCTTTAATCGCTGTTAACCTCTCCAGGCATGCACAAAAACAACCGCCATATTGACTTTTTAACAGTTTTCATTGTTTCTATGACAACTAGCGACTTCAGTATACACCGCTGGCTTCTTCGGCGCACAACAAAAGTATTTCATAATGGACTGGGACCAACATTGCGCGTTCATAGCGCGAACAAATTTAAAGGTAGATTGAGTTCTCATTTACTCAAAAATCATTTCGATTCAATTTCCTGATCACTTTCCTCTTTTTATCTTCGCCCATGGAAGAAACAATGAAAAAAGAATGAAGAATGAAAGAGTTTCCTTGATGGAAAAGAACAATAGGACTCAGGATAAAAAAGGATTGGGTAATTGGCTGGCTAGATACCAGGAACTATGCGGTGCACCCTAACTAGAATATGAGAGATGATACACGTTATCTAAATAATTAAATGAATGACGGTAAAACTGTGATGAGTCTATTTAGCACCCGCATTCAAGTAAGCGCCCCTTCTCTAATAAGAGCTCCCCTCGAATTTGGCTTTTGTTAATAATTATCCTTGTCCTAATAAGCGCCCCCATTGCGTAAGCACCTTCATTTCTACAAACACCCTAATTCCATTAAGCGCCCCTATTCTGTTGCAGCGTCAGCACTGCTTAAATACATGTATACTGAGATCAGTCGTGGTTCATCTTTATTTATTTTCTTACCAAAAGGTGCTCTAAGTCTCAGTCTCTCAGCTATTATTTTTAAGTGACTGCACAGTTCCTTCAAAGGAATCATCTCGTCTTAAATTTATCAATTTATTCTTCTCTAACGTAGGGAATAAGCTCAATAACTTACTGCCAACATCAACGTATCTGCAACCTATAACTTTGGAGAACAAAAAGGTACCACTTTTGTCTCAGGTTGTCTTAAACAGAGAAGTGGTATCCAGGAAGATTAACTCATTGCAAGTGAAAAAGTCTGCTGGAAAATATTCATCCAAAGTTATTAAGAGTGGCTGGAGACGCAGTGATCCCATCTTTAGTCAGCTTATACCAGCACAGTATTGATCGTGAAGCTGTGTTTTCGCAATGGAAAGTGGCAAGGATTACGCCAATACACAAAAAGGACGATGAGACAGATATCACCAAATACAGACCAGTCTCACTTCTGAGCAAACCAAGCAAGATACTTGAAGAACTTGTGAATGACACATTAGTTGATAATGTTTTCACAGCTAACGACCTTGCTTCGGACAGACAGTGAGCATACTGCAAAGAATATTATACTGAGTTACTACTAACACAGCTGACTGAACTATGGAGAAAAAGAGCTTGATAAGGGAAAAGCCATTGCAGTTGCGTTTATAGACTTCAAGAAGGCTTTTGATTGCTTCCAGTACTCTCTCCTGATTACAAAGTTACAGCGCAATTTTGGTGTCTGTGGTCTCTTGCTTAACTGGTTAAACAGCTGTCTACGTGACAGAAAACAGTTCACTGTGGTCAACGGCGCCGAATCTGGGACCCAGTCAGTTCAAGTTGGAGTCCCACAGGGCTCAGTTTTAGGACCGACATTATTTGCTTTATTTTCCAGCGACCCTCCATCCTCTGTGGCTTCGGGAGAGACATACATGTACATTGACGATACCACAGTACACTCTGTTGGGATCAATAGGGATGTAGCGGTTTCACTATTAAACAGAGCGTTAACAGAGCTGTACGAGTGGTGTCTCATAAACAGGCTCACACCACACCCTAAAAACTGCGTGGCTATGCTTATGACGAGGTCTAATTATATCGGACCTATTCCGCCTGTTTCTATTGGGGGCTCCTTGATAACATGGGTTGAAAATCGCGCTTACTAGGAGTAACGGTCGACAACAACCTGACATGGTCACCATACTTATCAGAAGTGAAAAAGAGCTTCGTAAGCAAGCTCAACTTGCTGATAAAATCAAGATTTCTTCCCAAGAGTGTACTAAAAATTTCTATTAAAGTGTTATTCTGCCATCTCTCACCTACAGTCTGATCACTTGGGTATAATGCAGTAAATGCAGAGCTATTCGGGACGCTGGAGAATCTCGATAGTCGTGCAGTAAGGATTATTTATGATTCAAAGGACACGTCGAACGAAGACTCCCTTAAGATAGCCAAATGGCAGACTTTGGCATACATCTTCAAGGACAAACTCTCTAAGTTAATGCATAGTGCTTATAATGGCTTATTACCGAAACAACTATGTACTAGTATCATTAACAAGAGGGTGTCGTGTTATGCATTTAGGGGGACAGATTATATTGCTGTACCTAGATTTACATCTCGTTATTTACAGCAATCTATTAGTTATAGAGGAGTAGTCCTCTGGAGTGCAATCACATTGAAATACTCTGATATTGCTTCTGAGCCACGTAGAACTATCAGCTCTAGATTAAGTAAAATTAAAGATTTCACAGAGTTTACTTTTAAAGTAAAATTAGCCTTTACAGTTGATTTTAGCAATCAGGATTTGAGATATTTTTAGGATTTTAAGATGTTACAACTGTATTTACATGAGATTTTAGTATTTGTTAGGAGCCTTCAGCTATTTATTAAGTTTCTTATTAATTTGATTAGATAACTAAACACAAGACTCCGTAAGCGTTTAGCTTTTATAATTCATCGTTTACAAATAAAGTTGATGTATGTATGTATGTATGTAATTGAGCGCCTCAGGCGCTAAGTCAAATCATTACGGTAAGGTTTTAAAGAAATTGTAGCGCTTTGCTGGGAGTTTTATAAGATAATTTGAATTAAAAAACTTAGTTGACAATGTAAATTAGCCACCGTAAAATTATTTGTAAAGCTGACGTTTCGATCGTTAGCCCTTCCTCACTCCAGATATCAGCTTTAGAAACTCTTTACTCATTCAGTTATCTTTGTGAACTTAGTTGATAAAACTAAGTTGTCATATGAATCATTAACTGATTGATTAATAATTTGATAATATTTTGACATATGGTAATAATGAAATGATTTTCTTCCAAGTACCACAACGATTATGGAGCATGAATGGCTATTTCAAAAGACTGCGCTGTGGGCGATGCGACGTAACAACATATGTTACATATCCGAACATTCATTTCTGATTTTTAACTTGCTGGAAATACAGCCGACCTAAATGGATCCTAGTTGCCATTTTCAGTTAGTTATTATCCTTATATCGGAGAACGATCTGCACGTTTTATTTGATTGTGTTATGAAGAATCCGTCTTGTGTGACTACAAAAAGTACTGCTGAAATAAATAGATATACACACGATTCGTACGCATGCGCAAACAGTTAACTTAACACGTGGGAAAATATCACGGCGGTCTTAATGATACAGGTTTGATTGGTACATTATGTCATTTACTATAGCTTCTTCTTATGTGTCAATTTAATGAAAAGTTGCTCGCTCTGATCAGTTGTAACTAAATCAAGGATACAAGCATCAACTTTCGATTTACAGCACATCAAGGAATATTGTCACTGTGACAATTTTAGGATGGCTTGTTAGAGGTCTACATCGGTGATACAAATGTGACAATATATGCCACAGTCGCAATGATAAGGAAAACCAGAAGAAACATGTAATCCATTCTTTTAGCCACTCTTTTCCACGTGTACTCTGGTTCCTCGTCTATCCTGTCATCTAGTGGTGGGTTCTTGTCATTTGACTCCATCATCTCAACACCGTTAACTGTTACCGAGGATCGTCCACGAGCCTCATGAGACCCACTGTTAGGCCGCGATACATTTATCCTCCTCACCCTTTTCCCCTTCTTGATGTTGCAGAAGTCGCAGAATCTTTCGATCCAGCCAGGGGGGGTTCCTTCCTTGAAATACACTCTCACTACAAATATGTTGGCGAACAACACTAACGCTATGATGATCATAGTGACCTGGAGATTGACCCCCAGGATTGGGAGTCCGTCCGAAGTGACAGGCAGGAAGGATGGGATAACGAGCAGAAACACTGTCATGGCCAGGAGAACCGTTGTCACAAAGCCAATACGTTCTCCACTCTCAACGTGGATTAGGAAGCTGCTTAGTGCGAGGACGGTCAGTAAAACAGAAGGAATAGTGAGGTAGAACATATAGTACAGTGACTTTCGTTCCATGGTTAAGGTGTAAACAACTTCGCTGAAGTTAAACGGGCAGCAGTCGCCGTGATCAGTGCTTGATATCGCGGCCGTAATATTTTTGATTTCCCAGTCTCCACTCTCAACGAAACGGGCTAAAAGAGATAATAAAACTCTAATGAATATAATCGTAAAACAGTTACTGTAGAATATAAGTGCTTGGCCGGTTAAACCTAGTAGATCAGTTTGGTGAAGTTTGGTGCAATTTGGTGTAATGGTGTCCATTTCCATTTATATATTAAGCTCAGTTACGCACGCATTCTGATTGGTTCTCACTTATGATCTATTGAAGGACCGACGTATAGATGACGTCATCATTAAAACTTTTTTAAAGTCATTATTATATAAAACAAATAGATTCCAAGTTGCCGTGCGTCTGTTCAGTAATAGATCCCAGAGGACGTCAAAATGTGGTAAGAACATCAATGACACACTCGGCTGCGCCTCGTGTTCCACTTTTTAGTTCTTACCACATTTTGACGTCATCTGTGATCTATTACTAAACAAACGCACGGCAACTTGGAATCTATTTGTTAAATACTTAAAGTAGTTTGACGTAGTCTGATGTAGCTTGGGGATTTTTTTTCTCACTAAACTCCACTGGATTAGATCACACTGCACCTAACTACACCAAAATTGCACCAAACTACACCAAAGTACGCTAAACTACACCAACTACACGAGCTACTCAATATAACTACACCAAACTATATCAAATCCATAAACCAGGCTACACAGCACGGTAAAAACAGCACGACAGAACATTCAAACAAAAAACTAATCAAGTTGCATTAAGTTACACACTACATCAAGCTGCAGAAAATACATTTCATTAACTAGTTTGAGCTGAAGACTTCTTTTAACGGTTTCTATCTGTTCATAAAATCTCCAGTCGGTTATTTCAATTTTAAACACTCTTGGAACGTCCTTAAAGGTTAATTATAGCACTTGACAAATTCCTTACTTGCAAAGTTACTTTGGTCCTTAAACAGATTTAACTTCAGAAGGTTTTCTCCATAACTGAACGAGCCAAAGGCAAGTTGGCACTCCTGTTGATCAAATGGCCACAGGTCTATCTTCATTCTGCAACTGACTTTAAATGTTGCCGGTCCACCCCAAGAACACTTTCCTGTATGATCTACAGCAACGTCGGTGACAAACTTGCTAGGTCCACCAGCCAAGTTGATATCATCGTCACCGCTAAAGACAAATAAATGCTGTAAGCGAACTCCGCCAACTGACATTGGCAGATTACAAACACAGCGGTAAACCTTGACTAAGTGGAGTGATTTCAGGCTTTCAGTGTCAAAGTGTCTCAAATAAGCCAGTAATTCACGGCAATTTAAAGCGCACAACCTTTTTGGTAAAGCTCAAATCAACAAGATACCCAGACTTGAACAAGCTTTGTGTTCGTAAAGATTTTGTGTTGTTTTTAAATTCTAAAATTTTGTGTTATGGCATATTTCCAGAAACGTTATCAAATAATACCCTAATCATTCCCTAATCTATCGACAGATTTCAAAGAAAAAAAATTCTTAAAAAATTCAAGGATATGATTGTCCATTCCTTTTAGGGAAACTAAAAATTCAAAACTCTAGCCACACGCATTAAGGAAAGGCAATATTCTTACTTGTTAAACAGGGCTATATCAGGAACCCAGATTTCCCTGGGCTCAAAATGAACACGATCCACGTCTCCGTAATCACTAATATTCCAAGTTAAGAATTCGTTGTCCCATCTCTGTAAAGAAATTGATACACCAATGTTGAAAAGGACATCAAAGTGCTCCGGCCCTATCTCTCTTTTTGTCTCAAGATGATTGTTACAACGGTTTACCAAATCAAATTGGGGTTAAAGGGTAATTTAGTTTTATCTGCTGAGTTGATAACAATTGGCTACCGTAAAGAGTTTCAAAGCTGACGTTTCTAAGGTTAGCCTTTCGTCAGAGCGAAATGTCAGCTTTGAGACTATTTATGGTGGCCAATTACGGTATCAACTCAGTTGATGATACTAAATTACTCTAGCTGTTATACTCTCCCACCGACGCAACACCCAAGTTTCTTTAGAAACTTACCCACTTTGTGGATTGGAGCGATAATTTTGTTTCTCGGGAAATACATACACGCAGGACGACTTTTCACTGTTCACTGATTAACAAACTGTCACTGCATCTTATAGTAGGTTCCCCGTTTAGACACCGTACTTTCTTAGTTGTTTCGGAATTTCTCAGTTTCTCGACCCTCCAAAAAAAACTCTTGACAGTAAGCTCTTGGAACAATCCACTGTTCTTCTTTAAAATACCACTTCGACCCACGTTGCACCGCGTGTTTTTCTGCACGTCAATTAACAGTATCATTTCATACGCCGCTTAAATTAACCACATTTGGACATTGGTGAAGAACATATTCCACCAAATCACCCTTCGTGTTGAGTATATCACTTTAGGTTAAACAGCACCTCATAAGATTGTGTGACGCGCTTACTTGTATGACCCAAGTGTCCAGAATAACTAGCTGTTCTTGATTATCCTGTTTGAAAAATAGAGCAGGTGGACATTAAAATATGATATCGACTAGGCAGTGGAGAAATATTTGTTACAGAAAAAAGCGGCTGGGACGAGCCAGAAACGAAATAGTTAGACGATAAAACTGAATTATAATTTACTCTGCAAAGATGATCCAACTGAGGAGACTGCAAAAGGGGCGAAGGTGGAAGGTGGAACGAGGTAAAAAGGTAAAGAATGCGTGAAGAGGAGGGAATAAGGTAGAGAGCGAGGTAATCTCCTACCCAGATCCTACGTGTAACTGAAATTTTGGTAGTGGCTTGGCTTGGCCGTGTAAGGTCTGGGTACGAGACTAAGTGCATGGTAAGGAAGCCAGGATAAGGGGCTAGGCGAGGAGGGCGGAGTGATAGGTTATGAGAGGGGAGAGGTAAGGGGGGCAAAGTTAAAGGGGGGGGGGCCCTACCCTTAGTGTGATTGTAAAAGAGTGTGATTGTAAAAGAGCCCTCTTGTATCTCTAGACAATCCAGTTGCTTCCTGATATATCTTCAATTTAATTCCGACCTTAATTACCACAACAAATTTGCTTGACTTAAATAAAAACAACAAAACATTTCCAGGCCAATGACTGCTACTAAAATTGTTATTATGGCTCTTTAAGAAAAAAAACGTCCAGAAAACAGAATTTCAACTAATTGGAACCTTATAGCTGTAGGCTTTGCTTACCACTTTGACAAGTCGGCCGATTCTTAAAGCAAATTGAACTTTCACGCTCTTTTTGCCTCTAAGCACTGGGCGGACTTTCCTATCGTAATTGTCGAGGAGGTCCCGTCGGATAAGATGTTCCCATGAAGAGTTCGTAGAACCTATAGAACCTACAAAATCGAGTACATTCAATGATAAAAGAAACGGAATGTTTGATGAAGATAGACAAACTTAAACACACAGATGGGCAAACAGACCCGAAAGACAAACAGACTGACAGACAGGAAGACAGACCAGTTGACAAGTAGAAGAGGGAAAGACAGGGAGAGACCCTGAGATAGTTGACGGGGAGACAAATAGACCGACAAAATGACAGTCAGATATAGAGAGACAAAATAAACGCACAGACAGACGGAGAGACAAAAAAATAGAAAGACCAGAAGACATACAGACACGTGGATAGACCGAAAGACCTTGGGCAGACAAGTGACGGACAGCCGGGAAGACATGAAGTCAAAAAACATACAGAGAAACAGATAGACAGAGAGACTGACGGACAGACAGACAGAAAAACAGATAGATGATAGACAGATAAACAGACAGACAGACAGATAGACGGACAGACAGACAAACAGACAGAAAGATAGGAAGACGGACAGACGGATAGACAGACAGAAAGACGGACAAACAGACAGACGGAAAGACAGACAGACAGACACATAAACAGACAGACTGTCAGACGGACGGACGGACGGACGGTAGGGCAGACAGACAAAAAGATAGACAGACCGTTTGTCTATCTGACAGATGGATAAGCAAAGGGAGCGGAAAGATAGACAGACAAGAAGACCTGCACGCAAAAGGAGTGCTTAAAGGTGTGAAAAGTGGTTGAAGATAACTAATTGTACAGATATTCAAATCATTTCGAATCCAGTTTGGAATGAACAGAAGTCACCTTTTGCAAAGACCAACAAAATTACATCAGCCCGTAGGCATTATGTGACATTGTACTTTTTGAGAACAATTACAAGTGCTTCGTCATTCCGAATTGCGCAAGCGTCGAACTCATTAATTATGTACAAGGTAAAACTTGAGGCAGCTTTTCATAATTATGCAGCAGCACGACGCATGAATCGTTTCTTTTTATCCTGAAGCTCATATCAATTAAAGTTCATCACCCATGAAGTCTGACAGAGTTTTAATCGACTTTCAGGCAGCTCAGTGAGTTTTTTGAGACGCATTGATTTCATCATCAACAATCTTTCGAAGCAGCATTTAAGTTTCCCCTAAACTGACTACGAAATTTTAAAATCCTGGCAAAACTTCCACAGCAAGATTATTCTTTCCAAGAATATCGCTTCGATGATTGTTCAGATACATGAACTGGCGTTTATGAAATAAACATAGAGAGTCAATGCAATAACAATCTGAAACTTGACAAGAATTTTTAGATAAACCTTAAGCTAAACAGTTGATGTCGCATTTTTAGTGGAAGATTTGTTGTGTTGATAACATGTTTCCAAGTTGCAAGGGTAACTTGCCACAGTCGAACACCAAAGAAGGCACGTGTTGAAAACCTCATGAGAAATTAAAAAGATGCCACCGACTCGAATAAATGAATTGCTAAAAGTAACTGCGTTTTCTTTGAACGCTGGATCCGAGCTTTCTTCAGCGAAAAGATGTGTGAGGTCTATTTGGCGTTCTCAGTCTTATTATGGGAAAATCAAAATTGGAAAGTACAGTAACTGTAATTAAAATTGTTTTAATTTAAGGCAGAACGGGTTCCAGAAGAATAACAAAACAAATTCATTGTAGTTACGTTCCCTCAAATTGCTATGTTTTTGTTGTTAGATCCCTCGTAACTAATTAAAAAACCTCTACATGCAAATACGTTTGTTATTCCGAGCTCTTCCTATCTTTAATTTTTCAATTTGCACAACCCGTTATTTTATTTACACGAACGACACAATCAGCCATTCAAATTGTGAGCTGCGAAAACAAGTATGTCATCCTACGATGGGTTTTGAAGATACCACCGGCAATAAAACTCTGAACTTCCTGTATAGATACATAGCGATGTCTCTGCTTCTGGCCAAACATTTGCAATGAAGGTGTTAACAATGTGGAACCCGCAGAAATGTTTTCAGCCTGAAAATGTCAAATTCATAAACATGATGTAGACCTTCGACATGGAAAAAACAATATTGGTCCTAGTGCGGTTCAACTGAAAGTTTAACAGTTTAGGAGAATAACTTGCGGCACTGAAATTATTTTCGAGATTAACGTACTTGTTAATAACAAGAACTTTGAGATATTCAAATTTTTATTTCCTTTGTGGTACAAATTCAATACCATTTAGTTTAACAAGCACTGAAATCGTTTTACGTTACAAAATGATTAACATAAACTTTCCTTGAAAAGGTAGTCATTAGCGCTCGAAAATTAATTAAGTTACAGGTTTTGAATTGTAATTCTAATAACTTTTCCCGATCCATTGTAGTGTAGAATACTGCGCTGATAAACGTTCAACTACAACTAGTTGTGAAATGTTGAGGAATATTTAAGTCGTTAAATTGTTATTCTGCTTTTTAATATTGCGGAGTCATGCAATGAACAACTCCTTCTAATCAAAGAAATACAGTTCGAATGGCAAAACTTGAGGTGAAGCTAAGCTGTTGAAAACATTGGAACAGAACGATTCTCAACCACAAATTATTGTTGAGACAAAAATTGATGACTGGGAAATCGAACATGTCTTATGCTCTTGCATTAAGTGAGACGTGAGCTTTATCATTGTGCGTCATGCTTGTGAACATGTTTGTTTTGTTGCTCCGTAAACAAGTGTTTTCCCTTGAGAGGAACTCTGATGCAAAATTTGCTGATCAATTCATGTTCGTGACTGACTTTTTAAACAAACTTTCGCTATGTGGGGCAGGCAAGTGATATTTTGGTGGTCGCAGGTGATAAAAGTGAAGTAATCGAATGATGTATTTCAAAAAGTTAATGCTCCGATAGCGCTCTTCCTGTCATCGGTGAAAATCTTAGGTGTGTATAATAATACGCAAATATTTAATGATTCAACGAAAGTACGCAATAATATGGTAATAATATGAAAATGTTTCTCTCTAGATCTTGTTGTTCCCCTAATTTACTCGTAACTATGGCTCTGTTCCTCGCGCATGGAACAATTTCATGGTGAATATTGAACTAAACACAACTGATCCTTGTCAGTTTCTGATTAATAACATAACATTGACATTCAACTCTAACCCGGAGCGTTTGCGTATTTCAAAAGTAGTCTCCCAGTAGTGTTTGGAACAATAAAGGTAATTTCAAAAGTCACTACAATGTTTTGCTGAACACTTACCTGCCACAAAAGATAGTATTTTGACGCACATTAGAAGTGCTGCAACTCGACTCATCTTAGAAACTTTGAAGCTGACGACTTTTCGAACTCACTCTATCCCGCTTGCGATTCGGGATCTCTCCCTAAATTAGATAGCGGTTGATTTCTGTTCAATGTTTTAATTATAATGATGATATCCACGAAACAATGAAATATTGGACAAGGTTAGCAGGTCGTTCGCGCTACTCACGCACAGTAGCTGGATGACGTTACACATATCGAGTGACGTCACGTAGGGCCTTAAAATTTATTGATAACCAATTTATTATTTGGAAATTCATTATCATGATACTAAAAAGTCTGAAAGTGCGTCAGTGACAAATTGCATCATGGGGAAGAAGAGGGTTCCAAATAACGGCCAAAACACTCAGGGATGGTGTACTTTTGTGAAAATTTAGACGGATTCAAAACTTTCGTCTCCTGCAGTGTCATGTTTGGTCAACATGCCTTGCTGAATTCAATGTTCTCTGCCTAACGGTAGGTCTACGAACTAAATATAAGTCAGAACATAAGTATGCAAGATTATTTGTTTTTATCATCAGAGTGGGTATAGTAAAAATGTTTCCGCTGCAAAGAGTTTCTAAAAATTATCTTTCGAGCGTTAGCCCTTCGTCAAAGCGTTAGCTCCTTGTCCTTTCATCTGACGAAGTGCTAAAGCTCGAAAGATCATTTATAGAAACACTTTGCAGCGGCAAACTCCTATAATCCATTCAGTTGATAAAACTGACGTCCTAAAGAAACAGCAAAGGTACTGGCGGCCTTTATAATCCTTCTTCTTCAAAATCCATATGGTAAAAGTAGTTTATTCAAAGAGATTTTAGTGAAAACAAGAAAAACATGCACTTCTCTTGTGACTGTTAGGCCATTTTCTCTCTTGTGTGGCGCGCGTTTCGCCAATTGAGTTTCAAATATAAACCTGGTCAGTCTTAAAAATTCCCGGATATGTCACAGCATTCTGCGCGATGTCAAATTATTCCGTGTAAACAGACAACTTCCCATCGACACAGTGCCACAGTTTCTTTAGAATCGTCCCCTCTGGTAACAGCTCACGGCGTGGTTGATAATGAAGAACCACGTTGGCCAGAGGTTATAATCTCTTGGCTAAATGAAATAATTTCATTGGACCTGCGGGTGAAAATAATATAAAGAAATCATCCAGGAGGCACGAATCCCGTCGAAGCTTAAACTATTCCACGCTTCTTTACTGCAATTGTTTGAATTCCAGTCCACCTGGGATGATCATTTCTTTGCTTGAGAATTTTACTGGTAAGGATGCATTACATCTGAATATCTTAAGAAAAATTTCTATTTCAGAAATTTGTCACAAGAATCGGGAATTCTTTTCTCAAGAACGAGAATTCTTTGTAGCAGGCAATGAAGAAGAGTTCTGATGAAAAGAGTGTTCAGTTACAAATCTTATGAAAAGAATCGCAACTTCAGAATTCATAAGGTAAGAGGCAGAATCTTTGTTACAACAATGAGAATTATTATAACGAAAATTTTATTAAGTTAACTTTTATCGCCAGGAATTTTGATAATTATACACGTAAACATCTAATGTAGCCTGTTAAGCTTTGCTACATTACAGCGCCGGGTGGAGTAGGTAATATAAAAGAACGATTCCCTGGGAAAGCAAAAAATGATGTCGTAGCCGCAATAATTTATATCAAATTTTCGTGAGAAAATTCACAACACCAAAATTAATACCTTTCGAAGTGAAAGACTTATCTGGAGGTTTGAGCAGTTATAAAATACTAAAATGTCTGTCATTAAAATCTATCTTGCAGTTCTAAGCTCTTAAGAGGAACGCGATCGATGTAAAACACTTGGTAGCCGCCCTATATTCGAAATCGGTTGCGCGGGCTCAACGTTTTAACGGTTCCGAAACTGGGGTATATATTCTTCATGAAGTATGTAGCAGGGCTGAGTTAGGATTTTACCTTCTTTCGATCTCATACGAGGAAGGAGATTTCAGCGGCTAATACTGCCTTCCGCTCCAGGAGGACGTTCAAATCTGGGTTCATATTGCGTGGTTCAATAGGTATACTCGGAGTGTCAGGTGGGTTCTTGTTACAGTAATTTAGTGTCAACCGATGGAAGGAAGCTGGCATCAGTAAGATGAGGTCCAAGAAACTGAATACTGCTTGATCGGACTTCTCCTTCGTTGGAAACATGCTGTTAACAAAGCTGTTAGAAGAAAGTGCTCTTCAGCAACTGATTAACACCCTGTTAATACTGTTCTGATTGCAGGAATGGCAAATTGAATTTTAGTACTTGTTGCAGAGCTCGAGGTTAAGATAAATTACAGCTGAATGGTGGCAAACTATATGAAATAGAAGGTCTTAATTGATGATGGTAACTTGTGTAAAAAAATATCCAATTTAGCTAAAAATCATATTGCTCTCTGGTATGAACAGTTTGAATTAATTGTTGAAGTGCCACAAATAGTGAATTACATGTTCTAATCCATTTTATGGAAATCCGTTTGTATAATTATACCCTCAAGATCTCCCTCTAACGTTCCGTTACAGGTTACTGTCGAATTATGGTTACTCAAAGTTTCCGCATGAGAGGAGGCTGGTGCCGAAATAAAGCGCGAGAGCGAAGTCACGCTTTGCTTGGCGGCTTGAAAAATAACGGCAATCAAGTAGTTTTAGCTGCTGATTAGAAGTCACCTTTTGCAATAAAAAGAATCAAAATTGAATGATCGGTGATGTTTTATTGGCCTTCGGACAAGAGGCCGCGAAGTCAGTTAAAATCCTGTCGCTGAGCAAAAGAAAAAGTTTTTAGATATGAAATACTCGCCAATATTCAATCAATTGTTTTTTGACCGTAACTGTCTCGTTATACATTGAGTAGGGCGTGAACACCGCATATTATCGTCAGGCAACGGATATAAGACGACATTGGGAGAGCCATCGTCGTTTTCTCGCCTTTTTTGCGCATTTATTTTTATAAAGGCCTGATACCCTGTGTGGCGGTACAAAATCTTTACTTGTATTCATACAGGAAAAATTTAGTCCAGTCCGAAAAACGCTCAAACGTATGCGCATATGCGGACTTGCTAGTGACTAAATGGGATGCCTTCAGGCTGACAGTAGAAATTTTTATAAACTGTTTAATTTTTTGTCTCACGATGTTTTGACTTGAGATGTAGATCGTGACGTTTCGACTGCTTAGTGTTAGTCTTCATTAGGCGATGGGGTCGACTGCTCACGCGTTACCATTTGTACCACAGCGATCTAAGGCGTTGGTGGATGTCGATCCCCATAGTTCCGATGGGTACTGGTTTTAGCGATGCTGAGTTGTCCCTGTTAAAGAAAAAAATTAAGTTTTCTGTGATTCCTGCAAATATCCTAGCTACCGAGATCATAGCTAAAAATGTTAAATCAGCAGTAAGACGTGACCACACAATGTGTAACAAGCAGAAACTGTCAAAAGAGCCGTTTTTATACAATATCCCACAACAAAGCCCAACATCACGAAGAAACAATGGAACGCCTTTAAGAGCCTTAAAGAAGTCAACTCGATCATGATCCTCCCGGCGGATAAGGGTTGTGTTAGGTTGTGTTAAACACCCAGGACCTATGGTTACAAGGCTAACGTACCGTTGAGGCCTACTGTGTCCTTCGTAAACACCTTGTCTGCTTTCTTAGCTAACATCCTATCTCCCCTGACTGGAAATTCAGATTTCACGGTGACCGACTCGGCTCACTTCTCTTCCACCATCAGCGGTGAGAAGATTCAAGACCACGAGATCATGGTGTCCTTCGACAAAAAGTCATTCTTCACCAACGTCCCAACCAAGGGTGCTGTAGAAGCCGCACGAAGAAAGTTAGAGAGTAGCAGACCTCATTGATCCACATACTTCCAGTATAACGGTTCGATCTACGAATAGCTAGAGGGTGCAGCCATAATTTATTTACGGTAATAAACATTGGCATCAAAATTCGGAAAAGATAAAGTTGGCCCACAAGTCAAGGCACAATACCATGGAGTCAAATCTCTAGAGAAAGAGATCAAAAATTTTTCCTAAAGTAATTGATTCATCAATCCCTCTTCCAATAGAGAAAGCAAGTGGAGCGTTGCTGTTCCGAAAGGCTGTGAGACCCCTATGTTTTAAAGACTAGTGAAATCTCCTCTGATGTACTCACAAACCCGCATTCCCTTGAATTGATGCAAACAATGTCTTTGAAACAAGTACTTCGACGAAAATTCCCTCGGAGAACCTCACAATTCCATCGAATTCGCCTGGCGCAGTAAGGCGGAATGCTCAGAACGGTATCTTCTGTCTTTTCCATTAAAATTGAAGGCCAGGGAGACTTTATTCACTAGATTCAATACAGAATATTCGGTGGATATTCTCGAAACCCACACCCCTAATCGGGCAGCGCTCTGTATCAAAGACATCTACCCTGAAATACCTCTATATTCCGCGTGTGAGACTTTCATTTATACTTTTTTTATCTCCGCCTGCCAGATCTGTATTTTTTTCGTTACATGTAAGTGAATGTTGCGAGAACAGTATAGCCATTCTGCCCGATGGGTAAGTATAGTTTGAGCTAGGGAGAAAATTGGATTGAGTCAGAGTGACATCCAGAAAAGGATTTAGGTAGTTGTTGCACAGCTGGCTAACTGTTTGTGGTAAACTGTTCATAGAGGCGCTAATGTAATGTTAACGACTACGCTTTCAGATTATAAAGCTTCTGAAAGCAAAATATGGTTTAAAGGCACGGTTGGGAAAACATCACAAGGAAAATACCACATTGATATAGTTTGACGAACTTCGGTTTATGAGGAAAGAATTGAACAGAAATAACGTTCAATTAATAGCATTGAGAATTAATTTTTGTAGCTGGCTTCCGCCGGCGACACGCGATTTATCATTTATTTATTGGGTATTCAACACCACTTAATTTGTGCAATTATGGAAATTTCTTTCCTAACAACAAAAGAAATTAGAATCTATTGGAGTACTGAACTGAGAGCCTTCCCTCGAGGTACTTTCGTCACAAATTGCCACTATTAAAGGAAACAAATGAAATGCTTCCCTCGTGAATAAATAATGTACGTTCTGATACCA